ATTTTCTGCTTTCTGAAGCTTTGTCATCAGACAGAGTCCTCTATGGAGGTAAGCCAAGCAGAGAAAACTTCGTGTGACTCTCAAAAAACCCAACAATTTAAACAGCTGTAAACAAAGAAGGAAGATGGAAAAATCTGTCTTACACCTTAAGTTCCATTCTGCACATGCATGGTGGAAAAATCAATAGCAACATTTACCCCATACAGACACGCAAAATTTTATAGGAACATAAACTATTTAAACCAAATATCTTAGATAAGAGAAAATACATGAACTATTTTCCTCATAGAATAATTTTCTTCTGTAGTTTTACAGTGCTACTTATTCTCTGACGTTAAAAACTAAAGCCTGAGGGACATCTGATAAAATTGGTGATGTAACTATAAGTGCAGAATATTCATTTCCTATCAAATTGTGAGATAAACAAAATCAGATGTAACAACAAAATGAATAGGACATCAACCCCAAAGCCAAAAAAAAGATACACCCACATGCTGTAACTTCAAGAAATGTCCAGAAAATGAAAAATTGGGCCAAACTGAAGAAAACGTGATGAAAAGTAACTGTATTCTTCGAAAGGAAAGATGGAACATAGAGGTGTAAGGAGGGAATTCTGGAAAGTCTCACTGCTATAAAGGTGTTGGCATTAAGAACAGAGGTCCAAACTGGAACTTTTTGTCTCAATAATTTGCTTTGAAGACATTGTTTTATCAGAATAATTTTCTCTGCATTATGATGACTGTATCATGTACTTAAGAAAACAAATTTGTCTCACATTAAAAGACTAAAGTTTTGTCTTCTTTAAAAAAAAAAAAAAAAAAAAAGAACAGAGGTCCACAAGGGAACAGACTCGGAATCCTCACTGCTTTACTGGGGACACTTTCCATACTTCCTTAAAATAAATGGGGGAAACATCTGCTAATAATAACTATTACAGCTGGACCAAGAAAAGTCCCACTAGGCATAGAGAAAAGTACCAATACAAAATGTACAATACTTCCAGACTCAGTGAAGCCTTTGTTTCCTTAGAATGAAGGGAAGGCCTAAAGATAGCTACCCAAAGCCCCAGCTTGCTCCCCACTGGGCAGCCAAAAGACCAGGTGAGACTTACAGACCATGGACATGCTCTCCATTTTCCAGGTAAAAGAATAAGACCCAATCAAGCACTGTTTGGGACAGGGGGTAGGCCAAGAATGAATGGTGCACACTCATTAGTTTGCAGGTCACACTAGCATGTGACTGAAGAAAAGACGACACTACATAAAAAAGGGAGTGTGGAAAATGAAGGAAGGAAGGACACATAGCACAGCCTACTAAACAAAGATGAGACTTTCAGATAGTCACAGCAGCCTGTACCAATGGTGGCAAACCTGCGGAACATGTGCTACAGGAGGCTGTTTGTTGTCGAAAGCTCCAAAAGGTTCACCATCACTGGCCTGTGTCTAATGAGCACAGACTACCCACCAGGCACTGCTACAGTGCTGTGTGTATATGAATTCCATTGATCCTTACAACACCATACAGGAAGTACCACTGTTAGCCCCATTTTATACATAAGAAATCTAAGGCACAGAAGGGTGGAGAAGCATACCCAAGTCTACTCTGCTAGCAAGAGCGGGCCAGGATTTAGACAGAGACAACCTGTGTCCAGAGCCTGTTCTCAACTGCTCTGTGCTTTGCCCCAAGAAAGAGACAACATTTAGACAATCGCTTTGTTTTGTTGAGGAAATTAAGCAGAATAGAAATTAACTGATCATATACCTTTTCGTGAAAGCTACTGGAAGGAAGAAAAACAAGAAACAAAGATAAGTGCTCAGGAATCAACGTGGAATAGTTTAAAATCTCCCAGGATGAGAACTGCAAAGAGAATCTAAAGAACTGAAAGACATGGGGACTATCAAATTGCAGTGTGCCTGACAACTGGAAATAGTATTGCTGGTCTTTGATGCTCTATGAGAGAAACTGGCAAAAAATAGCAGTAGGGATCTGGGCCTGGTGGCTCACTCCTGTAATTCCAGCATTCGGGTAGCTGAGGCAGAAGAATCATTGCAAGTTTGAGACCAGCCTGGGCCACAAAGTGAGCCTAAGACTAGCCTGAACTGCATAAAAAAACCCTGTCTCAAAAAGACAATAACATCAAAAAAATAGCAGCAAGTATCGTAGAAAATAAAGCAAATTTTTAAAAATTTCATCTATAGTTCTTAACTACAGGGAAACACAAATTTAGATGACAAAGGAAAAATAGCCATACTCCTAAGCAAGTGAACCAGATTAATATGTAATATATAGTGTACATATATGGATTACATATTCAGTATATAGTATTGATATAGTGCTATTAGCTTGAAATTTTTTATGAACCATCATTAGAATGACAGAAGAAACATAAGGTTGATGGGGTAAGAGCCGAAACTGCAACTTCTGTAATTTGTATAACTTCTAAAGGAAAAAATAGCAGCCTATGGGTGTTATTTATAACTATGACAAATACCAGGATACCAGAATAAGCACCTCCAACAGTTTGTGTAGAATAAGGCTGTGAGGTGGGAGCTGGATTGGGTGGCTGCAGAAAAGGGCCACTTTTATTAGAACCATTTTGTGGTGTTTGCTCCCTTTCAACTCCACAAAACTAAAAACAGAAACAAAAACACAGGTAAAATTTAAAAATTTTAAAATACTTATTAAATATTTTTTAAGAATTACTAACGAATCTAACAAAAATTTTAATGAAAAGCTCTGTAAAACACTTCTTGGAAATTAAAGATTGATGATGTGATTCCAGGGAGTCTTTAATTTCCTTTGCCTTAAGAAAAAAGCCACAAGAACTTAGGACCCTGGGAAGCCAAGCAAGCACCTCCCCTCCCTGGTAAGCGGTGGTTGTCTGGCAGATTGCAGCCCTTCCAGGGGGAGAACCAGCAGCAGCTCCTGAGATCCGCACCATGTTGGAACTTAGGACGCTGTGAAACCAAACGAGCATCCTGCCTCCCTGCTAAGCAATAGAGAACCTACTGCTACATGGCCTAGAGTCTGATATCCCACTTCCTCTATCCCCCTTCTCTTCCTCCCCCACCCCCCACCCATTAGCAAATGGGAACCAGAAAACTGAGCGTCTCCTGGGAGGTTGACCATAGCAAATAAGGGGGACTTCCTTCTACCATCTCTTTGAAGGCAAATATTTTTATTACTGTTTTGCTCTTTTCTGATTAATGGTACTGCTCTATTCAATATTCTGTTTTGATAAGTTCTACAGTGTTCTATATTTCATCTCATTTTGATATACGTGATTGAAAGAACAACTATTATAAAGATAACAAAATATACTATGATACCTATGACTGTTATCCCGGTAACCTGCTGTGAAGTTCTGTACCAGTTTCACTGTACGATCTTAGTTGGCTTTATATCTGACTTGTTCTGTTGTATACTTTCAAAATAAAATTTAAAAAAAAAGAAAAGAAAAGAAAAAAACCACAAACAGTATGGAACTTTTAGAATGTGTTTTGTCTAAGAAATTGAATCACACACTTCTACCCTCTAATTGTATTTTTTTTCAATTTTTCAAGATATTAAAAGAAGGGCCTTTATTTAGGTGCTTAGGTGGAGGCGTAGCGCAGCCATCTGTACAGCACAGTCAGCTGCGGGGAAGAGAGCCGTGTAGCTGTCCCGATGCCACAAGAGGTAGATGTGCAGTGCTCGTGGCTCATTGTCCTTAAATAGTCTGTTTACATGTGAATCCTAGAGTCCCATCACTAACTGCTCATATGCCTTATTCCCCTTAGTTATCATGGATTTTCTTGACTCCTTGGGATCCCTTGACCACCTCTCCCCCATGCTGTGTGCAAACAGATCTGTCTTTACAGTGCCACTGGCTGAAAAGGGAGTACATGGCAAGCCTAGGGTGCATATTTAAAGTCTGCAAGAAAAGAAACCCTAAACAACTGCATAAAAGAGGCAGCGCTCAAGTTTTTCAAGAGAAATTGGTGGGCACAGATGGAGATTTTAAAGAAATAAAAGAAACCTTGGGGAGTCTGAAGAACCCATCCTGTGGGCTTTCAATTAGAGGTTGAAAATCTTGGACCTTTCAGGTCAGAGACGACGGAGGGAAAAAATACAAAGCTTAAGAACCAGAGTGGTTATTTAAGGTATAGCAATAAATAGCACCTGCAACATAATGGGGGCCTGTGCTCCTTTATGAAAGAAAGCAAAGTAGCATGGGGTCACAGAGACCAGTAGCAGAAAGGAACAGAAAGACTTCATGCTGGAAATTCTGTAGGAGAAAGTAAATTTGGTGATTGAAAGGATGTGCAGGTGATTGGCCAGTGGTGAAGATTACATCAAATTTGGTTTTGCTCCAGAGGCTGACAAATGTGACTACCTGGACACAAGGTCCTGAAAAAAAAATCTCTTAATTTCATGCTTGGATGAAGTTGGCACTGACACATTGGTAAATTGCAAGGTTTCTAAACACTGAAAACTCATAGTGAGGATTTGTATGTTGGTCATCCATTTTACCCTTTCCCAAGAAATCCTTCTAAATCCTGGGAAATTCACCTCAAGCCTGGGAGGAAGGGATGCACAGGCTGTATATGAATGCATCTATAAATCCAGAGTGAATTGTGTATAAACCTGTCTGAAGCTACGTCTTACAAGAAAACTGTAGGTACTTACTTTGTTTGGCTCTGACTCATTTCTATTTCCTTTTAATGACCCTAAAATACATGTCCACAGATATTTGCATTTTGACTTCTTTTCAGGACAATAGAGTCAGAACAGGACTGCTTCAAACTCATGATACACTTCTATGTAGAATAATGAGCCTCTAGATGCCTAAAAAAAAAAAAAAAAAAAAAAAAAAAAAAAGCTGACATGAGTCCTGGCACCACTTGTTGGTGGTGGATAGAATTGACGTGTTTTGGGTCTGGCTGGTGGGTGCAGTTAGGTGAAGGAGCTTCTGTAGTGCCCGCCGGCAACGTTTTCCTTTCTCTTTCTGTATTGTGAAGGTGTGGCGGGGCACCCTGGCCCGCATGCGGTACAAGAGGACAAAAGCTGCCCTGACCATCATCAGGTACTACCGGCGCTACAAAGTGAAGTCGTACATCAAGGAGGTAGCCAGACGCTTCCAGGGTGTCAAGACGATGAAGGACTATGGGAAGCACGTGAAGTGGCCCACCCCTCCCAAAGTGCTGCGTCGCTTTGAGGAGGCCCTGCAGGCAATTTTCAATAGGTAAGAATTTGCTGGCCTGTGCCATATCCATTAGTGGCAGCACAGGTCACAAATCCTAGACTATGATATTGGCTGAGCGCTTTGCTGTTAAGATGTTTATCTTTCCTGTCTGTCTTTAGCTTTATAGATTTTGCTTTCCAAGAATATTTGTTTACCTCTCAAAATAATAGAACTGTCAACTGTATCTATTTGCCAGCTGCATGCCCCACCCCTAGATCTAACCTGCATTTAAGATAAGCCACTAGCTTGCTGTCTGTACTTCTGTTATTAGCCAAAAAAGGGGGGGGGGACAGACAGACAGATGGACCTCTCTCTCAAATTCACAGTGTGTAACTCAAACCAGCAAATCTACTTTGAGACCAGCATTGCTCAATCTGGCTCATGAGGAGTTTATGAACCACTAATGCCCAGGGCCCATCTCCAGACAGCTCTGTTTGATGGAGCTGGAGGTACAGCCGAGGAAAAAGGCCTTTTAAGATTATCCAGGTGATTCTAAAGTGCAGCCAAGGGAGAGAAATAGAACAAGCTATTTTTTTAAAATAAACAGCCATATAAAATTTGCTACCTTCCCAACTGGTCTTTATTATTATGACCCGCCCTGACTCTGAATCTACCCTTGGATAAGTCCTTTCTCTTTTGTTTTGAATTTATTTGTTGTCATTGCCAAATATATAGTTGGCTTTCAGTATCCACAGGCATTGGTTCCATCAGCCCCCGTGGATACTAAAATTCACTGATACAGATGCTCAAATGCCTTATATAAAGTGATATAGTATTCACATATAACCTACACACATCTTCCTGCATACTTTAATCTCTGGATTAAATTATTTCCTTAGATCTAAGGAAATGTAAATACTGTGTAAACAATTGTTATGCTGTATTGTTTAGGGAACAAGAAAAAAATGTCTACAGATGTTCAAGAGTCTCAACCATTGTAGACCTAACTGCATTTTGACCCAAAGTTAATTGAATCTGTGGATAATGAAACCTGTAGATATGGAGTATTGACTGTATTTAGCTCTGCCTTAGATATAGCCATCTAGTTACATAAACCAAGCTGGCAGGGCTCAGACGTAATAATACGATATCATTTTTACAAAGAATACCAATTGATATCCTGAACATAAAAGAACTAATTTATAATTTTGTGCTGTCAGGTTTTATCTTTTTTAAACTTACTCTGTATCACTGATGGAAGGTATCAGAAGATAAAATTCATGAGTCAAACTCTCTAATACATATTCTATATGCATTTTTTAAAACTAAATGCTCATAAAATAAAATAATATGTAATTATTGAAAATAAAACCTTCAGTTCTCAGATATAACATTATAAGTGTTGGTTTTCAGGGCCGGGGATTTAGCTCAGCAGCATAAGTGCCTGCCTGGCAAGTACAAGGTCATGAGTTCAATCCCTAGTACCAAAAAAAAAAAAAAAAAAAGTGTTTTCAGTCTCAACAGGATTGTGTGTGTGTATGCGTGTGTGTGTGGTTTTTTTGAAAGAATCTCAAAAAAGTAAGAAAAATTTTAAAAAAACACAGAGTCTCACAATGTAGTTTGGGCTGGCCTTGAGCTCATTGTGTAGCCCAGGCCACTCGCTCAAATTCAGAGTGATCCTGTCTCAGCCTCCCAAGTGCTAGGATTGCAGGCATGTGCCACTACACCTGGTTCCACAAGATTTTACATACACAGATGAATTTTTTTCATGAATAGTATCACCTACAATCTGTATTTTTACATAATGTAAAAAGTAAACTATATTAAATGCATGCTCATTGTTTTTTAAGTGAAATATACAAGCTATAAAATTGAAATCCAAGGCTGGGGATTTAGCTCAGCAGCATAAGCACCTGCCTGCCAAGCGTGAGGTCATGAGTTCAATTCCTTGTGCCAAAAAAAAAAAAAAAATGGAAATCCTTCATACCTCCCTTGTCTTGCCCCCTCTACCATTTTATTTCATTCTCCTGAGATACCGCTCATTAATAGCTAGTAGTACTCTTTTAGACCTTTTCCTGTACACTTACGAAACACATGCACAGGTCGTAAGAGGCAGTATGAAAGAGCAGCTAACACGCAGCCCCGGAGTCTTTCTGCGTTTGGCACTAAACCAGCCATATAACTTTGGGCAAATCAGTTAACCTCTTGGCACCTCAGTTTCTCGAGACAGGATCTGCCCCATAAGACTGCTGAAAGGTATAAAATGGGTAAATATGCAAAGCATTTCAGGTGGTACCTGACACAGTAAATGCTTTGAAAATGCTTGCCCATACTGTATGTGTATGCACACAGGTACACGAGGTTCAGGCTCTCCCCTCTATTTTAGACAAGCAAGGTTCTAAGTATGGCTCTTAGGATTTAACTTAAAAATGATCTTGAAGACTGGCCCCTGATAACCAGTATCTATATAGTACTTATAAAGACTTGATTTTGATTAGATTATGGCAGTCTTTTTAGATTTTGAGGTCTTATTTGTGGCCTAGAATTTTAAAATTTATGTAAAATTCAGTTTACTCATTCAGTTATAATTTACAGCTATGTTGCAGGGCTGAGTTCCAGGGGTAAAGTGACAAAAAAGTAAGATGGGAAGGACACCCCAGCTACCCTAGGGTCACAGGCAATGGCCACATGAAAATAATGAGTCTGCTCTGCTTGTTGTCTGTGCACAGGAGCATGTATAGCCTCCCCCCCCCAACAGATCTCATCATTTGTATTCAATATAGTCAGCAGTCAGCAAACTTTTTCTATAGAGGGCCAATAGTAAATATTTTAGGCTTTTCAGGCTACATAGGGCCTCTCACATGTTTTTCTTTGTTTCATTTTGGTTTTGTAAACATGTAAAACTATAAAGATTCTTTGTAGTTCAAGGGGAGCACCAAAACAGACCACAGGCTGTGTTTGGCACAAGCTGTATTTGGCCAACCCCTGATCTTGATTTTTGCTATCTATGGAATATTGGAGAAAGTGTTAAAGGGCTCCACTGTTATTGCGGGGATGTGTTTTTGTAGTTCTGGAATCTCAGTGTGTGTCTAGTGCTTCAGATCTTCTTCACAGTGACTCTAATCCACCAGCTTCATGCTCAGCTTTGTCCTCTTTTCATGTCATCGAGGCTGCTGCATTTAATGGTTGTGGCTGTTTGTGATTGTGCATAGTTTTAGGTGGTGGTTTGCATGACCAGGATGAAAAGTTCATGGCTCTGTCTGTCGTAGTGGCGATCAGGTTCTTAGGGCCCCAGCATACCTTTGTCTGGGGCTTTGAAATTGGTCAGGTTTGGGCCTTGGCTTGCACCATGGCAGGCATTGAGGAGGGAGCAGGTTGACCAAGAAAAGAGGCTGGAAATAGAGCAGCAGTAGGAGCAAAGACCTTTCTTAAGAGTGGAATTTGGAGCTCCAGGGCTGTCTTGAGTCACTTTACTCATCCCTGAGACATAATACCTGACACAATTCAAAGGAGGGTAACCTTATTTTGGATCATGGTCTCAGAAGTTTCAGTCAATGGTTTGCAGGTCCAAGGCTGTATTGAAGAAGGGCCTGAGCAAAGGACAGCTGCACATCCCTGTGGCAGCCAGGAAGCAGAATGTAAAGGGAGGGACAGGCTGGGGGTGACAGAATGTACTCTTCCAGGTCATGCCTCCAGTGACACACCTTTCTTGAACAGATCTCGCCTCCTAACAGGAAGTCAGCTTTTAGCTATCAGTGAACAAGTGTAGTGCCCCCCACAATCCAGTCACCTTCCAAAGACATGAGGCTTTTGGTGGACACTGTAGACTTAAACCATAACATGCCACCCCTGGCCCTCCAAAAATTTATGTGCATCTCTCTTTATGCAAAATTCATGTGGTCTTAATTCTTAGATTTGCCAAAGTTTTAGCAATTCCAGCATTGCTGAAAACTCCCAAGTCCAAAGTATCTTCCAAGACTCAAAACAAACTGAGCTATAAGTCTTGTGAAATATCAAAAAGAACGTCAAACACTGCTGATATACAGTAGCACAAAGTAGACATTCCCAGTCCAAGAGAGAAAGCAGGGGGATAGAAAGTCTCTGCTCTTGCTGATTTTGAGGTATCTTCAGTGCATCTTTCCTGTTGTTCTGATACGGGCCCGATTTGGCTTTGCTTTAATGCTAAACTGTTCAGCAGCCATTTTCCCCCTTGCTCCAACTTTGTGGGCCTTCTCTTCTGGCAAAAATGAAAGCTTTTTAAATTGGCTTTTGTTCCTGTTTCTCACTCTAGATCTTGTTAGAAGCTACCAGCAGTACTCATGCCATACCCTGGATGTTGCACTGCTTTGAAATTTCCTCTGCCAGACTAATTAGTCCACTGTCCTTAATCTCAGTCTCTTACAATGTCTCAGGACATGAGCAAAATGTGCACAAATTTTATGCTAGAGTATAATACACATGGTTTTGAGTCCAGGTGCCAGTGGAGTTCCTGTTCCCCATTGAAATCTCCTGGGGCTGTCCTTTTCCGTCTTTATTTCTGTTAGCATTCTGGTCTTTATACCTCTAACCAGAATCTTCTGTCAAGCTCAATTTATAACTTTCTAGGGCTTTCCTAGCTGGCAACTCTAAACATTTCCAAACTCTTTCCACAAGCCATGCTTCTAAACCACAAAGTCAGGTATAATCATGGCAGCAACTCCACTTCTGGTCCCCCAAATATGCTTAATTTCTTTCTTTGTTGCTGTGATACAATACTCATTACCCACAATTTAAAGGTTTCATAAGTTTTAGTCCATGCTCAGCAGGCTCCAAGGCTGAAAAAGCGTGGTAGAAGAGACTGGGTAGGAACAGCATCCCATGCTGTTTTGAACTAGTCCACTGATGAGTACAGCACCCCCATGATCCACTTATCTTCCAAACTCCTGAGGCTTTGGAGGGACACTCTAGCGCTAAACCATTAGTGCAATGTACTAAACCATTACAAGGACTGATTCGGGCAGTGGATTAGCAAGATAACTTAGTGTTGTAGCACCTGCCTATCTCTAGTGTACTTAACTTTTACCACCAGCTGCCCCACACCTGTCCCTTTTATAGCCTCTTCTGCAGTGGTCTTAGGATTCTCAGTCCACATACTAGTCACTGGAAGTAGAAAAGAGGATTTCGTGTTACATTGAACCTTCACTTTTTCATGATATTATCACACTGAGCTTCACTTTTTCGTAATGATGGTTTCATATTGATTGCAATTGTCAATGGCCCTGCCTGCTATAGCAAATGCCCTGCCTCGTCAAGGCCTGCCTGTGCACATGCAGGGAACTGGCATGGCTCCTACTTGAAATCTGTCACCTTCTGCACCTGCTCCTAACCCCTGCTGCTCAGGCTTAGAGATTCTCTGGGCCTTGTCAATATGCCTGAGAGCGTCTCTCCCATGTGAACTGCGCCACAACCAACCAGCTCCCCATCACCCCATTCTGTCTGCTTTATTACCTTCCAGAAAGTATTCACACCTTCCATTTATTGACATGATTCTCATTTCCTGCTAGTATTATTGTTTTGGTCTCATTTTTACATTTATTCATTTATTTCTGTGGTAACTTGCAGTTATGGTGGCATCTTATTCTGGTAGTCCATGAGACTATAGCTTTAACACCACTGACCTTGATTTTAAAAAGTTAAGTTTGCTTCCAGCCTCCCCACTTCAAGCTCCTATAGCAGAAAAGATGACAGAAATACCATGCAGGGCTAGGATGCTGCTCAGAAGAGAAAAGACCTTGTACCTGCTTTTCTGTCAAAAATATGTTTGGTCTATGCTTTCAATTGCTTATGCCAAACAACCTTAGAATCCTTAAGAATATTATTTCCCTCACAAAATCCTGTTGGCTCTTCCTTCAGAATGCAGTCCAGCACCAACACTTCCCAGACTAACTTCCTCTGGCCTGTGCATTAGGGAAATGACCTATTCACAGGTCCTCTTGGGCCCCATTTGTAACAGGAAGGCTCTTTTGTGATTTCCTATCCTTGTGTCTTCCCCTCCCTAATCCTTTTGCACGGCTTACCTTCCCTTCCTGAGGAAGAGAAAATTCTAAAGAGAAACCTCACCTAGATGGTTAAGTTGTTAACTGCTAAAGTCATCTTTCTAGTTTTATAGAACCCAGAACATCTGATGACCTTTGTAATACCCCTCCTTAGCCTTCTTTTAGCTCTATAAATTGCTATGAGATTTAGAATATAGGAACTCACCACAGAGAGAAAGAAATATACATACGCTGGATGATGAAGACCCCCCTTAGCATATGGCCTTTCTGCCTTGCTGTGCCATTTCCATAAAAGTCATTTGTGCTCAGATTCCTCCAAGATAGACCTGTGAGGAGATAACCCTTCCATTTGCTTTAGAGCCAGCCCTTGAGTAAACCTAATTTCTTCCCAACAATTCTCTGCTGAGTGTTGGCCTTCAAGTGGCAAGAGCCCAGATCTTAGGTTAGTAACAAGCCTGCAGCAATACGATGAACCCTTTTGTGTTCAAAACCTTCCAGTGGCTTCTCATCTAACTCAGAGTAAAAGTGAAAGTCCTGATAATGGCCCCATGGCTTCTGGCCCTGTTTCCCTCTAGCCTACCCCTATTTTGCATCCCCTTTCCCCACACACACCTCATGTTGCTTTAGCTTCACAGGACTCCTGGTTGCACCTCTAACACACAACATAGCTCTCATCTCAGAGGCTTTGCACTTGCCACCTTCTTTCACTCCTGCTCAACCCTCCATAGGGTTGGCTCACACCCTTACTGTAGGGGTCTGCTGATCTAGCCTTCTAAGAGCTGCCTCCCAGGCCACCCTGTGTAAACAACACCTGCTCCCACCCACTTTCTGCATCACTCCTGTCCTGATTGCCTTGTCTTGTTTTCCTCTGTAGCAGGTATCTTCAGCATACATACTTTATATCTGCTTGTTATATATTTATCGTCTGTCATTCCTCTTAGAATACAAGCACCTCCCCGGTACCGATAAAAAAAAAAATACAAGCACCTGGCAAAAAGAATCTTTGTGTCTGTTGCTTATTGCTATGCTTATTCCTTTACCTAGAACAGCAACTAGAATTTAATAGGTGCCTAGAACGCAGCTGAATGGATGCATGGATGGATGATGAATCTACATGTTTATGCCCTAAATATAAATACATGTTAAGAATCCCGTATCTGAAATACTTGAGACTAGAAGTGTTTTGATTGCAGAATTTTTAAATTTTTGGAATATTTGCCCAGAATTTACTGGTTGAGCTGTGATTAAGAAGTTTTGACTTTCAGAGCGTATCAGATATCTGATTTTCAGATTGCAGATGCTCAGCTTCTGTGATGACAGCTTATGTATCACTAAGTTTAATTGCTGTCAAAACAACAAAATAATTGACCAGGCATGGTGGTGCATGCCTGTAATCCCAGCATTGGGTTGGCCAAGGCCGAGAATTGCATGAGTTCAAGGCCAGCATGAACTACATGGCAAGACCCTGTCTCAAAAATTTGAAAAAACCGAAGCAAATCTTACAAAATGTATGTCTGCATAAAACTGTATTTAACAACTTCTGGGGAATATTTTGGAGGTATTTTACTTTTTTAGCATCGTATGTAAGTACTGTGGTTTTATTCTACTTAATGACAGCTTAAGTTCTCCTTGAAAATGAATGGGATTGAGTTTCTAATGTCTGTACCTGCTATCTGTTTCCTTGTAGATGGAGAGCATCCCAACTCATCAAGAGCATACCTGCATCTGACCTGCCCCAGGTCAGGGCAAAGGTTGCAGCCATGGAAATGCTGAAGGGTCAAAGGGCTGACCTTGGGCTCCAGAGAGCCTGGGAAGGCAACTATCTTGCTTCAGTAAGTCCAAGACAATGTGCAGTCTACTCCTGCACTCTTCACAAAGAAATTTTCTCCAAGAAGGAATTTTCCTCCAAGAAATGATGGAAGAATAAAACATTTTCACATACTAAATGATAAAAGAAAAAAAAGTAAAAGTAAAAAATACTTCTATTATTTCTGAGTGTACAATATTTGATCTCCTCTTCTCAACAAAGGTTCTCTGTGTTGTATTCATATACATGAAGTGTACTCTATGACCTGTGGCCTTTTAAACTTTTCCTTGCATTGTTCAGCAGCTATATTTAATTACCACCTTTATGTTAATTATTCCCAAAGCTGCATTTCATCTTCTCTCTCATTTCCTAATTTAAAATTTTCATAGGACTTTTGATGTTACAACACCCTTTTATGAGCTTACCCTCTGGGGTAAGGAGATAAAAAATGTGTGTGTGAAGCTGTGTAAGTACAGTTACAAAGCAGTATGCCAAACGATTGCCCGTGCTCCTCAGATGCTAAGCATTCTCATTTCATTGTTTCCATTTTCCTTGCAGAAGCCAGATACACCTCAGACCTCAGGCACTTTTGTCCCCGTTGCTAATGAACTGAAACGGAAGGACAAATACATGAATATCCTCTTTTCCTGTCATGTCCGTAAGGTAAGGCAAGCTTGAAACAGACCATCATGGAAAGAAAAGCCTAATTTAGATGAGACTCACTCAAGTAGACCTGTAATAAAATACAACAAAGCATAGCTAGCTGCCCCATCTGTGAGCTGTGCCTGACTGTACTGAGGCATTGTTGGAATGGCTAGCATGACTGCAGTTTTAGACTTAAGCTATAAAGGAAGTAAATACTTTTAAAATGTCATTTTCTTTGAAATAGGATAAGGTATTTCCTTGAGGCCAGAGATCTGTATTTTCCTGTAAGGGTATCTTTCATAGTACCTACATATCTGCTTTGTATTTAGTAGTCATTTAATACTTTTTATAAATGTATTATTACTAAAACAAGATTTAGGAAGAAACCATAATTTGGAAAAGAAGAGCAGAGCATACTGAGATTTGGATGGCAGGGGGAAGGGTATATACTGTGAAAGTATTTGTTTGTCGGAAGCAGATAATGTGAACTGTTGTTTGCCAGGAGGTGACAGCTGTTGGGCAAATGAAAGTGTAGAAATTGGAAAAGGTAAGGGAGCTAGTTAAAATACTTGCTTAGGTGAATTCATAGAAAAAATGAAATAATTAGAACTATTTGTAAAATGAACCAAGTAAATTTTAAAATATTAATGAATGGCAGTATTTAAAGGAAGAAAATGTTTTGGTACTGGGAATCGAACTCAGGACCTCTCACTTGCCAGGGAGTTGCTGTGCCACTGAGCCATATCCCTGGCCCTGAAGGAGGAAGTTTAAAAATTACTTTATATCAAAATTCCAACAACTTTAGTTTACTTCACAAAGTGCTTCATTTCAAATCTTTTTTAAAAATACATAATTTTAATATTATTTAAATCAGAATAGTGAAATGTGATTTTCAACTATAAATTTGGTAAACTTTAAAATATTGCTAGGAACCAGCATTTCTAAGAATTTAGGAAAAATCTGTTGTTGGGACATAGGCTTTGTTCCTCTTGAGTGAGCAACTTGGCAGCACTGATCAAAATTTAAAACGCCCAAACTTCTTACTCCAGAAACCACACCACTGAGGGTTTACTCTGTTGTTAGGTTTGCACAGATATCCAAAGGCAGGTATATATATGTACTTGTATATTATAACAACCAAAACCTGGAAAAATGTTAATGTTTATCAGAAGATGATTGGATTATAAATTACATATTTACATGATGCAATGTAGCTATTTAAATGAGTGGGAAGAAGATATATGGGGGAGAAGACAGAGCACCTGAAACAGAAGTCTTCAAGATCGTTAACATCAAGCAAGGAAAAGTACTGATCCTTGAAATACCAGAAAAAAGTGAGGTGTTCTGGGTCCAAATCTTCTGCCTTGGGGCTTTCTAGACTGTCCTATGTGGGAGAGCTGTGATAAAAGCCTTGTGGGTTCCCCAGTTGAAAAGAGAGAGCCCAGAGCTGGGAGACACCAGAGCAGCTAGATGTGTGCCCCTGAGTACTGAACAGCTGTGCATATGAGGAAGCTATTCAAGACTGGGGAGACCAACAGAAAGGGTGAGAGGTCAGGAATTCCGCATTCATAGAGGCTGCATGGACATAGTGTGTACGTGTCTGTCCCAGCAGAAAAACTGCAGACTTCCTGGTCTCTGAGCATGGGAGAGAGCCCTGACAAGATTCTTGCTTTGGTAGGGAGAATAATTAGTCCTAGTAAATATTACTCCAGACTTACTGAACAAATCTTAAGAGTACAACCGGGAAGAATCAGACTGTTTTTAAGTAACCTAACTGTCTCAGAGCAGAGCTCAAAAATATTTATAGAAATACAAAAATACCCAGCACATAGAAAGTAAAATTTTGAATGCATGACATCTATTCGAAAATTTGCCAAACATACGAAACAACTGGAGAGTGAAATCCATAATGAAAAGAAAAATCAATCATTCAAACAAATTGTAGAATTAACGAAGTCATTAAAATAGTTAAAAGTTGTACCCTGTGTATTCCAAAAGCTAAAGGAAATACTGAATCTTTTATGTATGTATGTATTTTTTTGGAACAAGAATCAAACTTAGGACCTCACACTTGCCAAACAGGAACTGTGTCACTGAGCTATATCCCTGACCCTGAACATTTTAAATAAACACAGGGAGAATCCTTAAATGCATAAAATTTATAAAGATGAAAAATATGAGTGAAAAAAGCTACTCAACAGGATTAACAGAAAATTTAACCTTGCAAAAGAATTAGTGAATTTGAATATACAGCAATAAAACTATCCAAAATTAAACACAAACAAAAGGAAAGACTTAAACATCACAGAAAGCTGTGAAACAATTTATGTGGCCCTGTATTATTGCATTTGGAGTCCCTAAGAATGAACAGAAAAGGATTTTTTTTTTTAATCTTTTTCCTTTTTATCAGTACCGGGGATCGAACTCACGACTCCCTGCTTACAAGGCAGGCGCTTATGCTGCTGAGCTAAATCCCCAGCCCCATAAGAAGAATTTTTTTTAATGAATGGCTGACATTTCTCCAAACTTGATGAAAACTAAATGCACAAAGCAAGAAGCTGAGCAGAATCCAAACATAAGAAACCTAGGGAAACTGTATCGAGCCACACAGATCAGACTGCTCAATTCCAGTAATAAAAGGAAAAAAAGATACAAAGATGCACCCAGTTTCTTGTGAACCATAGAAATAGTTAAAAGAAGCCATTCAGGCAGGAGAAAAATGGAAATACATTATAGTGAGATTTCTGTATCACACATGAAAAGTAGTATAGTTTCAGTAGAATATGATACATTATTAGATGTATTCCATAAACCCTTAGAGCCACTAAAATAGCAAAACTAAGTTATAACTAGTATGTCAATAAAGAAGGTAAAATGGAATCATTTTTTAAAAAACTTCATTGCAAACAAGGCAGAAAAGAGAGAATGGGAACAAACAATAAATGGAACAAATAAACAAAAGGCAGTAGATTGAAATCTAGCCTTATTGGTAGTCATTACATGTTAGTGGTTAGCATTTCATTAAAGGAAAGATTGTCCCCTCTCAGCAATTGGAGGCTTTCACCAGCTGAGATACTCTCCAGACCTGTTAGCTTAGAGTTTAGGGAAGATTCATTACTAGATTGATTGATTAACTCATTGCCTCTTGGTAAGTGACTTAACCCTCAGCCCTTCTCTATCTACAGATGACTGCGGTTGCTACTGAAAGTTCCAAACTTCTAGTTTTGCCTTGGTTGTTTTGGCAACTGGCCCCAATCCTGAAATGAGGAGCCCTGGTCACTAGTCATCTTATTAGCAGACAAAAGACACTCATCACTTTGGAGATTGTAAGAGTTTTGTGTCAGGCACCTGGAACCAAGACTAAATATTATAACATGGAGATTTTATCACCCCGCTAAGTCATAAAATTACAAAGGTTTTACCAGATCTTTATAGGAACCTGGAACAAAGACTAATCTGAAAATTCAAAATGTGAAACTGTAAAACCTGAAACTTTCTGAGTGGTGACATAATTTTTAGATTAGAATAGTCAACCAATAAAGTCTATATAAATATGCCAAAATCTGAAAAATCCCCAAATCTAAAACAACTCTGGTTCCAAGCATTTCAAATAAGAGGTACTTAGCCTGTGTTACAGACAGCATCTGAGCATTATGAGGAAGAAGAATTCAAGTCAATACGATATAGGCTTTTTCTTTTCCGCAGTACTAGAGAACTCAGAGCCACTCTTCTCTCTGAGATAAATCCATAACTTTTTTTTCATCATCATCATCATTATTGTTGTTGTTATTCTAATTGAAACAGAGGCTTACTAAGTTATCCAGGCTGGACTCAAACTTGCTACCCTCCTGCCTCAGCCTCCACCCATGCCCTTGATTAACTGGGATTACAAACTTATGTCACTGCACCCAGCATGCTCAAAGACTTTTAAACAAAACGGAGAGTAGCTGGTTTTGAAATTAAGACTAAAATAAATGGCACTAAAATAAATATCAACATGAGTTAATCATACTGAAAGTCTAGTTCTGAACTCTGAGATCAAAAAATTACTAAATGTACCTAGAGTTAGACAATGAAAGACTTTTGCTAACCAAATTGACACATGCATCCCCCCAAAAAAAGATAAGCTATAATACCAGTTTGTGAATATAACAAAGGCGTTTATATCCAGGATGCTCAGATCTTCTTTCCTATCAGCATACCTGAGAAATCAAATTAGTAATCAGAACTATTCTGATTACTAATTGTTCCAATTACTAATTAATTAGAGAAAGTTGGCCAGTTTCGAGAATTAGGTCACCTACCTTAGAAAAGCTTAGTTTTCTCTCCAGTAGAGACAATTTTATCCTGGGTTTTGCTGGATAAAAAGCTGAAAAATTGTTATTCATGCTCCTGTATTTCTAATTTGAATGCAAAACTCATCTCACTATAGTGAGACAATGGTCTCTGTGGAATCTTTGGATCCCAAAAGCACACGAAGGCCTGCTTGATGAACTTCGGCAGAGCCATTCCCTCCTCTCTGAATCATTTGAGGCCACATCTTCCATTAGCCACAGTTATAAACTGTATTCTAAGATGAGAGACAAATAGCTCCTCTCACCTGTGCTGTGTTCCCCCTGGTCTGACTCTCCAGGGAGGCTTTATCTCTGACCCACGGTGGTGCTGACTAAACCTATAAGCAGATCACTTGAAGTACTGTATTTAGGGGAAAACGGGAGGGGTTTGTTTTGTTTTGTTTTGTTTTTGAAAGATTGAGTTTTTAGCTTCGGTTAGAAGATGATGAAACATCTAATATTGAGTCTATGATTCAGTTTTTCTATCACTTTATGAATTTAAGTGGAGGAAAAATGGTGTTCCTATACCATAATTATATTAAGTCCTTAGATTTATACATACATATATATATGTAGAATTTTCCCTTTACCTTGGTTTACATAGTTAAGTTATGCAGTTTAAAAGTTTTTTGTTATGTGACATCCTTAACACTCACCTGATTCTTTTTAAGATTGATTTGAGTTGCTGGAACAGAAAGTAGGCTTGTGGCACGTTCTTTTTAGAAATTACATTTTCAAAAAAATACATTTTCTATATATAAAAGAACATAGTATTCCTAAACAAAGCTTCTGAATAATTGCTGCTTTAGGATATTTCTGTTGGTGGTGCTTTTTAGATTAATTCTTGGACATATCCCTTTTTTTTGTTTGTTTGGTTTTGGTTTTTGGTTTTTGTTTCTTTTTTTTTTTTTTTTTTTTTTTTTTGGTACCAGGGATTGAACTCACAACCTCACACTTGCCAGGCAGGCACTATGCTGCTGACCTGTATATCTGGCAATACCCTTTAAAAAGATATGTGGCCTTTTTCATTTTGATTCTGGAATGACCAGGTAAAAGTATGCAATTAGGGATTTTTGAAGGGTATTGTTTGGTTTTTTGTTTTCATTTTGATTTGTTGAGGAAGTTTTGTTTGTTGTATTGCCCTGTTTTGTTTTGTGTTGTCCTGTGTTGTTTTGTTTTGTTTTGTTTTGTTTTTGAGATACGGTATAGCCTAGACTGGCCTTAAACCCTGTGCCTATCCTCCTGCTTCAGCCTCTCAAGCACTGAGATTACAAACATGTGCCACCATGCCCAGCTGCCACTAGTTGTTTTAATCACACCTTTTTGTACCACAGTCTTGTCTCTCTCAAATGTGATTGCAGAATATATGGGGCATTACTTTTGCTTAGTTTTCAAGTTCTTTTTTAGATGTTCTGTATTCTACAAAGCTAGGATAGGTAATAGTCTCAGGTAAATGATGATTAGTGCTCTCTAACATGGGTTTCACAGAACCAGTATTTGGTTGACTATTAATAGTAGAAAAAGGTTTCCATAAATTCAATGGAAATTGGAAATGGTGGAATTCTCAGAGCATTTAATATATTCCTGGGTTATGAATGTCCTACGAATTGCGGTTTGCAGTGTTTCTCAAACAGACTGGGCCATGGAAGCCTTTCTTTCAAAAAATTCCACATAAAGCTGGTGTGGTCCAAAACAACGTAGAACAATGCCAGGAGGGAAATTCTGTGTTCACCTTGTTTCAAGTCTTCGGAGAAAGATTAGTCATCAGTTACAGCAAAAATGGATGCTATGAAATGCATTTATCAAGGGCAGTAATTACACACCATACAGACTCTATTTTATTCTTAATTACAGGGGTCACTTTTGTTGAGTTAACTAAAAAATATACTCTAGTTACGTTAAATGCTAAAAGTACAGACTGATTTCTAAAACTGAAAGGCAAAAGGAAAAAATTTTAATAAAATTCAAACTCGAATTTGAGTTTTAGTTTCCTCTACCCTCCCTCATAGCAATGTACCTGCTACATCCCATCCTCCTATACTAATTTAATTAGCTAAATATCTTACTGAAGCCAGCGTTTTCAAATCAACCTCTAACTTCTTTGCATCTTGGAAATGAGAACTTGAGGGAAGGGATAGGCGATATATATCACAGCTAAGTCTTCTCTTCCAGTTATGGGAGGGCTTTTGGTTGTATCATTTCGTTAGCTTTCTTTTTCCTTTTAGGCACTGAGAAACATGGCATTGCAGTGATTGAAAATTTTTTAGTGCTTGGTACCTTGATTAAAATACACAGTACCAGGCTGGAGATATAGTTTAAGCAACATAAGCACCTGCCTGGCATGCACAAGGACCTGAGTTCAGTTCCTGGTACAAAAATTAAAATAAAATAAAATAAAATATACAGTACCTCAGTCTGCCAGACATAATGATGCATTCCTGTAATCCCAGCACTCATAAGCCTGAATTAGAAAGATGGAAATGAATTTGAGGCCAGCCAGGGAGTATGGTAAATTCAAAACCAGTCCAAACCGCACAACAAGGCCCTGTCTAAAACAACCAAACAAAATAGTAAAATAAAATATTACTTAATGGATGGAAACATCCTAATGAATAAGTAGCTAACTACTTATATAATATCCTATGTTTAAATCTGTCTCTTAGGAAAAGATTTATCTGCAAATAGGAACATTCTTCAAATGGGTATTCTCTGACCCTGTCTCTAACAAAGTGGCTTTCTAAAAAAATCACACATATAAGAGGTGATCAAAAAGTACAGTGATTCTTTTCCTTATCATAATAAAAAACACAGTGCCACGAATAATGGAGTAAGTCTTTCTGAAGAGAACTGAGTATTTTGAGGGATGATTAATAGAAATGGATATGTGCACGTGTATTTTCTCCAAATCTCATTGTCTAGTTTTATTTTCTGTATAGTATGTGATTATCTTTACTTATTAGTTGTTTATTTGTCTCACCTATACATCCTAGTCTCAGCTTCTTATAACCAAGGACTTCATATCTTTGCTTTGTGTGCATGGATTGTCTTCTAATTATTAAATTGTATTAGTTTTTTGTATATCCTAGACACAAGTCCATTATCAGGTAAATGATTCGGAAAATTTGTTTCCTATTGTGTGGGTGTCTTTTACTTTCTTGATGGTGTCTGGGCTTTACCTTTTATTTGTGTGTGTGTGTGTGTGTGTGTGTGTGTCCCTGTTAAACTATAAAATTTCAGTTGTTAAATTCCTTACATCCAGAGACAGTTACTTCTTTGAGATCTCAGTTGCCTCCCAGAGAATGGCCTTACATGGTACCTATGTATTATAGAATTTGTCTCCAGAATCAGCTACTTCCAGCCTCCAGATGTTTCCAGATGACTACTTGATTTCATTCTTGTTGAGATGCTGTATTTCATTTTTTTTTCCTTATAGGTGAATCGATTTAGTAAGGTGGAAGACCGAGCAATTTTTGTCACTGATCGTCACCTGTATAAAATGGATCCCACTAAACAGTACAAGGTGATGAAGACTATCCCCCTGTACAATGTGAGTACTCTGTGCTTCTCTCCCTAAGGAAGACTCTTAACCTGGTGGTCATGGGCCAGTAATGGGCCAGGAGACTGACCACAAGAATCTCTGGGTCTTTCAAGAACCCACTCGCTCATGACATTGTACGCCAATCTTGTATTTGGTACGGAAGTACAGTCTCTTACCAGGAGGATCCAAAGTTTCTAATAGATTAATGAAAACATTTTTAAAAAACAACTACAGATTCTATGTGATCTATATTCTTAATAATATTTACTGTTTAAATGTGCTATCTTATAGCATGTTTTCCTGTTTATTTTCATAAGATTTGGTTTTTATGGAAATGGAATCAAATAGAAAAACAACATAGATTTTTTTTGTGAAAATATTACTGATCTTTTAAATTTAAAATGTGTGTGTCTTCCAGTTCTCATCAAAGTATTTTTCTCATATTTATTACTGGTGTGATCTGCAATCTAAATCTACCCTATTGTTGACTCTATCCTTAAGATTTTCAAATTCTGTAACTTTTATTTGAAATGTGATATGTGGTATCTCCTTTAATCTCAATATGAAATTTTTTTCTGTTTAACTGTATCTACTTTATACGTGACTGCTATTCTGATTCTTTAGAAAGATCCTACTGGACTACTAGATCTTTTCATTTATTTCAGGAGGTCTTCTCTATTCTTAAAGAAAGAAGTCTGTCTGACACTAGGATCTGTAAGGGGCAGTATTTACATTATTGTAAATCTTGCAGTTGCTACAAAAAGGAATAGGAAACATTGTTTCATAGTTGGCTTTTGTTACATCTCAGAGGTCCTTTTGGTTGTAAGAAACAGACAGCAGACTATTCCTGGCTGTGCAGGGTGGTTTAGATTACCCACATTATGACACTGGGGTTTGTCCTAACTATTCCATTCCCTCACCCCCAGTCCCTCCACATACATAAGCCTTTCCACTTTTACAGAAAAGCCAGTAGATTGCAGCTACAAATAAAATGGTATTGCAAGACACTTTAGACTGTACTTAGTATTCTTAGAAAAGATTTGTTCATTGTGTATACAAGTCACAGTTTAAACCTAGTAACCCTGCAATTTTACAGTTGGAGATGAAAGAAATGAGGAAGAAAATCAGATTTTGTCAAAATCTACTGAGCTGTGGAACCAAAGGAACATAAGTTGTGGTGCATGTTCTATGTGTTTTCTTTCAACTAAGGGAGATCCATCAGGCACAAGCTAGTTAAATAAATAAATAACTCTTTGAGGTTATTTTCCCAGTCTTCCTTTTTCATGTTGATTGCTTTATATTTATAATGCTGTTTTCAACCATCATCATCACTAGTGATATTAATATTGTATGGTATTAATAATATCACAAAAATTAACAGTATCTAACTACCATAGTAACTGTGCACACCACATGGGTAGAAATGAACTTTTGAAGATGTTCTGTTGGACTCTTGTCTCTCTGTGTTCCAGCACCATTTTTATACACCAGCCTAATTTCCAGCAGCCAGCGTTTTTGTTAAAATGCTGTCATCAGCCAGGCATGGTGAATATCTGTAATCCCAGCACTCTGAGAGGTTGAGGCAGGAAGATTTCAAGTTTGAGCCCTGCCAGTCAACACAGAGACTATCAAGCTCCTGCTTCAAAGTATAAAAGGGCTTGGAATGTAGCTTAGTGCAAAATTTCTTGGTTCAATCCTCAGTACCTCCCCAAAAAAGGTGCTGCCAAGCAGACTCCATCCTGCACTCACTCCCAGAAGGCTGAAAGGCCCTAGCCATGAGTGAGTCATGGGCATGGGTATAGATGTCCAGCTCCATCTCTTGAGTGGCCAAGATGATTCCCCAGTGTTTCCACACAGGAGGCAGCTGCAGTTGGCCTACCATAGCTGCCTCCCATCTCCCTTTCCAGTGCCCCTGCATCTCCAGATTAGCTGTGCACATTCATTAGCCTTGGCCGTAGAGCCCACCTCTGGGAGGAGCTGACTTCCAAAGAGTCTGTCTTTCAGGACAGGGCAGGTCAGATGGAAAGGAGACTTCCACTATGTTAAGTCTAAAACAAATAATAGAAAAACAGTCTGAGGACAGGGACGTAGGTATTTGTTTTTTATTTTTTGTGCTCTTCTGTATGGTTTAAATATTCTGAAATTATAAACAAACTTTAAGAAAAGTAACCTTTGTTTTAAGGAGATGATAACAAATTTGAAAACAAATTGAACTATGTTGACTTCTGCATAACTTAAAAGAAGATATTCCATAAATAATCAGAAGTCTAATACTACAGACTGGGAAAAAATTTAGCACTGAGGATTAAAATTTAAGAGCAGATCAATATACAGTTGGAAGTGGAAATTATGAATCTAGAGGGAAAATAAGGGAGGATTATTCAAGAACATCCACAGTTAAGTGTGGGGATAGGAATCTCTGAAGGAAATGGAATAAAAAGTAAATCTCTTTATAGTCTTCTTTTTCATATCTCTCTTAGTGTGCTAAATGAGGTCTAATTTTCCTTCAAATCCATAAGGTTATGAGTTATTCTAGGAAAGAAAGGAGCTATGGGAACACTGTGTTTAGAGCCAGATTGGACCATTTTCAGAAATAAGAGTTGCCAATTAAAAAAAATACAGCTAAGAGATCTCCAGCTCTCTCTTCTCTTTCCCCCTTCTGTGTAGCTTTTTTCCTGCTTTAGCTTTAGCTGAGCTTTGTGGCACTAAAGAACAGACTGCACATATTATCCTCAGTAATGCTGTGTTTGTAATAAGAATGTGTGTGACAGTAAGGGAGAGCAATCTCAGGGAAACCCAACAAGTGCTGCTGTCTAATGCAGATCCAAGGGGCCTGCAGCCCTCAGCAACATGAGTGCTGGACAGTGACACTTCTGCCTCCCTTTCACTCTTGACAGTCACCTCTTTCTTGCCAGACATTGTGGGTCAGCCCTAGGCCCAGGTCAGAAGCAGCCACCCCAACAAGTTATTTGCATTTCATCCTGCAGTAACATATTGTGCAGCCTTCTCAGATGAGGCCTCTCCATAGCAACCGAGTCTGCGTGATCTCCGTACTTTGTTCCTTGTCAAACACTTGCAAATCTATGCATAGCCTTTCCTGATTTTTTTCTGGTATGACTTGGATAATTCCTATCATTCATTTTGGGCACAATTGAGCTCTTCCTTTCCCCCACCCCCTATGCTGAGGACCCAGGACCGTGGGCTTTCCAAGCAAGTGCTCTACTACTGAGCTACACAACACCCCCACACACACACCAGCTTTTTTGTACTGGGAATCAAACTCAAGACCTTGTACTTGCCAGGCAGGCACTGTGCCAGTGAGCTATATCCCTGGCCCTCCCAGCCCTTTTTTACTTTGCAACAGAGTCTTACTGAGTTGCCCACGCTGGGCTTGAATTTGTAATCTTCTGCTGTAGCCTCCATGTGTACCACTGCACCTGGTTTTTTACTGTTTTTTACTGTTGTCCCATGGTACATCGGGACCTTGGAGGCAAGCCATGATGAATATTAGGGTGTGCTGTTAGGTTTTCCCTGGAAGAGAAGTGTTTCCCATATTAGGTTTTCCCTGGAAGAGAAGCACTTTCCATATTTCAGCTTCATTCTGTTGCCAGGATACCAGTCTTTGTCAAGCAGGTCCTAAAATTTTGTTCTGTTTCCTTGACTGACTCCAGCCAGGCAATATAGGACTAATGTTTATTGCTTTCCTAATGTACCATAAAAATACCCACCTAATCCCTCTATACTCTGTCTCCCTAACTCAGAGCTTATCTAAGTCAGCAGTAGCTAAGGGCCTCAGTGCTCAGCTCTGGTGGACATATTGGCTGTCCCCCGACAGGTCACCAGCAGAGGATAAATAAGTGCTTGAGGCTTACAAATAGTGGGCTTCTGACTGGCCCTGCTGAGGAAGAGCAAGCTTTTACTCCTCCCAGAGATGCCACCACTGAACTGCATGCTCTCTGACAGTTATTCCTGGTGTTCATTTCTCTCTGCTAGATCTGGAGTCACAATGAAGGAATTTAAAGGACTTAAACAGAAGGGGAGAGTATTACATTACAATGTTTAGAGAATCAGCTTCATTTGATATTTTAGGCAGCCATATACCATTGTCTAATCACCCACTCAATAACCTAAGCCATTCAGTTCAAATAATTACTGAGTATTCACTGTATGCCAGCCGAGAGGTAGTCAGAACACCAAAATATCGAAACAGCCACAGTTCTTCCTTCATGTAATTTATATTACAGTGGATAAAAATGTATGTATGTATGTGTATATGTACATATGTATGCATATTCAGGTGTAACATGTAGTCCATAGAAGCTGTGAGGAAAAAGGTAAAATCAGGAAAGGAAATAGGGAATGTGAGAGTTATTATAATTTTAAATGTGGTGGCCAGGCCTCCCTGAGAAGTTGACATTTAAGCAAAAGCTTAAAAGAGTTAAGGAATGAATCCCTATGTTTTCTTGATAGAAAAGCATTTTAGGCAGAAGAACAGCATCTGTTTCCTTGAGCAGAGGAAGAAGCTTTCCCAAGGCTGGAGATGCTCAGTAGCTTGATTTATGTAAACCTTCAAGCTGTTTACTTGAAATGTGTGTACTCTAGCATGTACATGTCACACCTCAATTAAAAGGGCAGGAGGAGGAAAAAGGAGACAGGAAGCTGCTGATGAAAAGGAATGTCCGTCAAAGAGGAAAGTAGACAAGATAAGTGATCATTCAAGCCTGGAGGAGGTCTCCACACATCTGAAGACAGTGAAGCCAGCCATGCACTGTAAGGAGCTAGTGTGGTAATGTTGGTTCCACAGCTTGTCTAAAGAAGACATTACCGCGTGGCCCTCGGCTGTCCCTCAAGGGAAAGACGGGCACTAGTGACAGGAGGGTAGGCATGTGATTGAGGGAAGCCAGTCTTCTCTGGTTGTACTGTAGGTGTAATATCCTACTCTCTGCTCCTAATACCGATGATACATGGGGTTTTGTATTGTTTTGGTTTGGGTTTTTGGTTTTTCATTT